CGTCGGACAATTCATAAAATAATACGTATAGCGTGAAAAACCCTGTATAGAGTGACTGAGTCCACTGATTTTATTGTGAATTTTAAGAGCCTGAATTGCTTCCGCGGCTAATAATCTTATAATCCCATTGCTTGACTTTCTTTCGCTTTCGTTTGGCACAAATTCCTTCATCACTGGGGAAACATTTGAAATTTCTTGCTTTTTTTCTTTCATTTTGCATTTGCAAACGAAATTCTGATGCTCCTGTGATCAACTTCTCGTGTGAAAGAAATGGGGAAAGCACTGGAAGGCATCCAGCTCGAAGGACCAAATTGCAATCTTCTAACAATTCACTTTCAGTGTTGCCGCGTAAAGTGGCATCACAATCAATGAAAAGGCCATTTGGGAAAAACTGAAACCCATTCGGTTCATTCTTGTTCCAATTACCATACGTAATCAAATTAGTACAAACGAATATCAATTATAAAAGTGAGCGAGTCGATTTCATTAAATCGAGCAACTTTCCGGCTAAAAGGCTCTCAGGCAGCAATAGAGGCAAATTGCTTTTAAATTGATGCTCTGTACTTGGCAATAATGGCCACTCCCGTCCAAACTTGTTGAGCCGAACGGGACACTCTGGCCGAGTGAGTGTCCCATATAGGCGATGACCGAACGGGATATTTCTGGAACAGCGCAAAATTGAACTTTCTCCCCAACATTGCATTGCAACTGATTTGCCCGGATTTGTGTTGCATTTTTCGTTCGCAGGTTTTTTGCTCTTGCAACTTGAAAATCAGTTCACATTGCATATTAATCCGGTCGGGAACTTGAAAAACGATTACGCGACGGACTAACAAATTGAGAAATAAAGTTGGAAGGTCCGAACGTGATAAACGAGTCCCGGGGGAACGAATGGGGAAAGTTTATTAGGGAAATGTCGGAACGAATCAGCCTCTTCCGATTATAACTTCAGCGTTTCCCGTCTATTTGCTTCTGGACTTATCGGCAGCAGTAGACACTTCAACCGGAACCGGACTAGGATGAATTGCTACAATTATCGTTGGGCCAAATATTTGCTGTTTTCGTCACAGCCTTATGACTGCGCCATATTTTTCTTGGCGTGGAGATTCGCCCAGTTTCATGCGCCTTGAGCCCACTTCTGCTTTGGCGCGATTGCAAATCAAATAAGCTCAAAAATGGGTTGATAAAAAAGACTATTGGCCTATAGGGGAAACACTAGAAACAGGCATCTAAACGACGTTAAGTAAGTTTGAAAGGTGGGACGTTTTAGATGGCAGTTAGAGGGCTCTGAGTAGGCGCTCGATGGTCCGGGGGATATTTTATAAACAATGATCGTATATTCCACCGGCGTTATTTCCCCACTGACTGGCAGATAATAGACTCTAAATAGACTATAAAGGCAATAAATCCCCATTAGGCGGATTTTCCGTCGGGTACCCTCATTTTAACGCCACACTTGAGCGGATTTATGGGCGGCTCACTGTAACTTATTGCAGTCGTTTCGATGATTTAGCTATTGAGACGGAATTAGGTGTAGCCAAATAAAATCTTTGCCCACAGGACAATGAAGGAGGCCAGGGCGCAGTCGATAGGATAATTTGCAATGAGGCCCTAGAAGCTGAAAACAGCCGAAGAACTAAGAAACGCATTAGTGGATCTGCGAAACGTGGCAGATTGTATCTGTGCCGATTTATTTAATAAACTGACGTAAACGAGCTTAAAACATCACAGCGCAAAAGTGCCATCATCGTTAGTGTGAATCATAAATCCATAAAAGATATAAAGTGAGCGGTCACAGTTGGCGTTAGCGGGCCAAAATATGAAAGCCGACGATACTTACGTTATGATACCAGGTAATTTTGTGCTGTTTGGGGTTCGCCTTAATGTTGCACTCAAAATAAACGTCGTCGCCTTCCTTGATGCCGTCGGCATTGAGGGTGCTGCCCAAGCTGAGAACCACTTGGGGGGGATCTGGAACAGAAAAGAGCGGCCAATAAATAAAAGGGAACGACGAAAAGGGAAACAGAGTGCGGCCGCGAGATGATTTATGGGAGTTTTTATTGGATGGCATCAAGGGAACGGGAGAAGAGTTAAATGGTTTAAATTTTCTTAAATTCCCAATAATGGTTGCATGAGCGAGGCAATTTGTTTTTAGATTACTGTGCGCATTATGTTAGACGTAATGGAAATCTTCAGAAAGCGTCACGAGATCGTTTCGATTTTCATCTTTGCCTGCTTTTTTCCCTCGAGGCAATGAACGTGAAATTGGGATTTTTATTAATGAACCTGCTGGGATGTAAAAAGGAAATTCAGGGCCGCATTTGCTGAAAAATCCTTCCAACATAAAATTGCCCTGCAGCCCAGTCCAAATCAAATTGCTGAGACCCTGTAGATTATTATGTGTTTACACCCCACGTTAGGGGTGTTTGAACAGTTTGGATAAGCGTTTTAAGCTCAGGCATTCCAGCCAGCCTGAACCGGCGACGTAATTGTAAAGGAAAAATGCATTTAATGCAACTTCTGGGACTGCGTCGCTCTTTTCCATATTTCCCCACGCCGTACAGCCCATTAAAACGGTTTTCGTTTTATTAAAAACGGGGAAAACGCAATTTACCTCCGTTATAACGCGCACTGATGCCCATTTATTATGATCGCCGTTGCCATTTCTCAGCCGCAAGAAAAGGAGAAAGATTTAAATGGGCATAATGCACCACGGATATTTTCAGTTTAAATGGCTTTCTTGCGGGAATTATGAAAAACCAGCTCACAATTGTGAAATATAGTCACACTATGGCTGTTATACCAGGTGGTGGTCATTTCGCCTATAGTGCGGACTGTGACACGGATTTTTAAATGAACATTAGATTTTTAAACATTTTTGCAAATAAAGAGTATATTTTATTTAATCAGTTTTTACTGATATATTTTATCTAGTTTATTATCAGTTCTTTTGTTCTTTAAGCAGGTAATTCTGACCCGTGTTTCGTTTTTCATTTTAGGATATTTTATTTTATCTAGGAGCTTTAGTTAAGAATTATTCCTTTAATAAACTAAATCATTATTTGTCATTACTATTTCTACAATAATCATCATTGCGCATGTTTATTGAAAAAATTTAAAAGTAACAGGTTCCGTTTGAAACCGCAACGTTGTAACCGTGTTACAGAAAAATAACCGTTTATCCCACCTCTACGATCCCCCATTTAAACGGAGCGTTCCTTAGTATAGTTTGCTAATGTTCTTTGCGAAATATTCTTACCCGAAAGCAGCCCAATGCTGATTTTTGTCAGCTTCGGTACTAACTGGAATTTTAAAATGCTGTTGACTGCGCCACATTTCAATCAGTTGAGAACAACTGTTGTTAATCGGCAACTTGATTATTCGAAATTGGGATAAAATGTGTGCGTTTTGGCCCAGTTTTCGATTCGTAAACATTCGGGCGATTTTACTCCAACCAGCAGCGCAGCCCCTGTTGGCTAAATTCGGATTTGAATTACAAAGCGGTGCAGCGCTAGCAGGAAAAGCTCTAAAAGTGTTTTGCTAAACACGGTTGGCGGTTTAATCAACAAGCCGCATTGCCAGCCTGTCGAACAGTATGCCATAAACAATGTTCGCTATTTTACGTATTCCTCTTATGGATGCATTATGCAATATTTGCAGCAATGTGGAAACGTGAAAAATTCAGTCGATGTCCTTAATGCACGCTATAAACTTCCTTGACTGTCCATCCATTAATTTAGTCTTTTAGTACGTTTCGAATGACCGTCATGTCACTTGGACTGCCCATATTCCTCAACACGTGCACCCACACTAATGGGAGCTTTCGATTCGTTTAAAAGGGTTGAAGGGCCGTTTTGCTTTGTCAAAACAGTCGATTCTTTCCACTTAATAAAGAGCATTGAGGGCGCGGAAAGGTCTACTAAATTGTTCAGCACCATTCTAAATTGCTTGGTTAATATTTACCTTAGTCAAGAATCGTCGCTGTGCTCAAAAATCATGATAAATGAGCCTTAATTTGTTTAAATAATAAGTAGACTAATTGTACAGTACAAGAAGAGCAAAAATATGTGTTTTAAGTTGTTTTTAATAAGACAATATAACAAGTACTTTCGCAAGTTCTTTTGCTTCGTTTGTGAACCACGGCTTTCTGTTTCCGTTGTCGTTATCTGTGGCGCTCTGTTAAATTGCAGTGATCACCTTCTATATGTTCTAATGTTGCATATTTCATTCACCCTTTTGCCCTTTTGTATTTGATTGATTTGTATTCGCCCTTTTGTTTTTGAGCTCAGTGATTTCATTAATTTATTAAACTGTCCATCGGCACTAAACGTTTTTTTCTGGTTAAAATAAAGCACAATTTCTACTGCCTCAGCTTCCAGAGTCTTTGGGGAAATTCAATATTTGTTCTGTGGGCCCCAAAAAGCTAATCATGTACGCATTAGGAACGGCACATAGAAAAACGACTCTGCAAGTTTTCAGTAAGATTTTAACTACTGAAATTTACGGTATGTTTGCAAACATTTAAGCGGAACAGCTGAAGTATAGCACCGATTCCGCAATTTGCATCGCAAATGCACCCCAAGCGAGAGGGTTGACGCTTTGTTTTTAAAACCCTTGATGTATGGAAGACGTTTCCATAATAATGAGTGACATCAAAAGCTCCAGATTAGCGTACGGCATTTTTGCGCTTCGGCTTTATGTGCCGGTTTAAATGGGCACTTTTGAAACACTGACATGCTGTTTTCCTACATGCGTTCCGATGTTAAACTCGTGCAGTCGCTTTTTGAAAAGGTTAATCGATGATGGCCTTTTCTGACCTGGCCAGCAGGAAACATTAAGAGTTCCTGCTTTGGCGAATTCAAAAGCGACGACGTTATGAAGACATGAATACAATATTTACCCTTCGTTTTCCTCCATTCATTCGTTTTGGCGCATCATTATTCATTCATTCGGTATACTGCTTGCCGCCCACATAGAGAACGCGAAGCACCACTAACCTTGTGGCCCTCAATTATTCAAACCCCAAATTGTTTTTGATCTCGTTATTGAAAATTTAAACCATTAGCGAGATCTTTTCGTTCTTTTCAGTTCATGAAAAGCTTCATAAATCTTGTGGTAAATCTCCCCCTTTTCTTGGCCCTGTCTGCCATTAACCGCCCTAACGGGGACAGTAATGGAGAATGACTGCATCTTCAGTCGTTTATATTTGCTGCTGCTTAATTTCGGCCTGATCAGAAATCAAGCTTCACTTCACATTGCAATAGTGCACTTTGCTCTCGACAATAAAGACGGCCCCACTAGAGCCCAGTAAAGCTGAAGTTATTTATCGAGGGTGTTTATTTAGCGCTTTAACTAGGAGTTACCTGGATTTATATGCCCCCAGTGAGGGCGGCAAGGGCGAATACGAACTGCCCTTAGTTTACCCAGGGGTTGTGGAGGTTTGTCAGGTCCCAGCAGGACCAATGAGTTTTCGAAAAAAATGCATACCTAGTTTTCAAATTTCTCTTATGCTCATCTGATTCCATGTCGCTTTCTCATGCAATAGGGGTTTTCACTTTTTTTTTATGTTGATATATAGAAGGTAGTTATTGCAAACATTACACTGATATAATTTTTTTGGCAAAAAAAGTCTCCATAATAATTTTAAAGCGAATTTAAATTCAAATCAGATATTTTTCGCCAAAACCGTCGAATCCGTATCGTCGGTTGCCTATCCCGATTGTGACGTAGCAGGTCATATCAACAAAGTGTCTGTTTATTTTGTGTTTTCGCAGCTTTGTTTCATTGTAATTATCATGGTTTTATTGATTATTATTATCATCTTGCATAATGGAAAATAGTGACATTTATAGATCACAAAATAAGTGGTGTTTTATGCCAGAATGCAAGAATACCTCAATTTGTGCTCCAAACAAACTCTTTCTAGCCGGTCCCCATGATTATGCATGTAAAGTTTTATGGTTCAAAGCAGCTAGACGTGATGCTCCTAAATCAAAATCAATGTTTTTTTGTTGCGAGGATCATTTTAATGAAAGTAGGAATAAAAAGCTATTGATGAGGCAGATTCTGCCTTCGATCGTACTCTGTGTTCTGGGCAAATTCTACCTTGTACAGTGCACAAAGAACCCTCGCGTTTCAATTCCACATATTCGATATCACCATATTGTTCTCGTGATGCCCAAAATACAAATTTAAGAGTTCATTTTACTTTTAAAGCAGCCAAGTTAGGTTAAGTTGAATAAGTGAAATTCTATATATTATTCACCTAATTTAAACCAATACAGACAGATTAGTATATTGAGGAGAGAGTAACTAATAATGAATTTACAGATTTTTACTTACGCTGCTGCTTTGATACCCTTAAATTCGGATGAATTAAAGCGATCGTCGTTTTTTTAAAAATTCGGTAACCATAAATATATGTACACATAGTAAATTGTTTGTTGACGCTGTAGAGAATCCTTCTGAAGCCATTTTTTTAGTCGAACACAAACTATAAATTATKTAAATCYACAAAATRATTAATGAAACACAACCACACAACTAAACACTATGCACAGAACGTAARCAATYCGCCWTKTATATGACCAGWGACGTCACAACCAATAGYAKTGCGTTTTAGAGATTCATGAATAATTTGAATTTTAGCTGAATTTGTTTRTTAAATATTTAACAAAATAGCAATAKATGGATAGTATAAACTTATTTAATCTTTCATATATATTACCATAGATTAATGTTCAGTTWGTAGRAATWTTTGAWACAATGAMAACGYTGTGTGTAGGGACGCTGTAGGGGTGATTYTYTTATATAATTCTTCTATTCTTCTCTATAATTTGCTTTAGCAGGCGACCACTTTTTTGCTTTTTTATTGCAGGTTCTTTGTAAGTTTTACGTGAAACACAGAAGGAATGCTAATAGTCCCTTGAGCGGTTTCAGGAAGGCGCACATTGTCCCAAACAGCTTATTAAAGCGTAAAGTTCATCTCAGTATTGACACACGCAGTAGGTCGCTATAAGTACAAACGCAAAACGAATTCACTGATAATAAAGAACAAACTAAACAGTTACACAAGCAAATATTTACGGCGTGTTTCGGGGATGCTTTCACATCGACAAGGAGCCGTTTAAAGGGGCGTTCGGGAGCTTCTTGCCGACGAGAATTACGTTTTTGTCTCTTGGCAAATATTTGGTTGGGAAATTTAATTTTTAATTTCCAATACCTACGAAGTGCACTGTTAAAAATGAGTTGAAAATTCAGTTACTTTTCAGTAAGTTTTGTAACTGAAAATTCAGTTTTTGGTTGTTGCAAATAAATTCATGCACATTTTGATTGAATTTTCAGTATTTTTGTTGGAAATCCAAAATTCAATAACATGGAACTGAAAAGTTTTCAGATCTTAACCTATTTGCAGGTACTGATTGAAGATCTGTCACTTCGTACTACAACGGACAAATTAACAGATTTTCAGCCAATAGAAACACTCGCATCATCGTATCATCGTATAAACGTATGTATGGCTCTTCTTTCGACAGTGACAGCAGACCGTTGAACAACAGCAATATAAAATAACCTTATTCTTCTTATTTTTTTTACCAAAAGTCATTTGTATTTTCAATAACAAGTATCTGAATTTTCAGTTGCGTGTGCGCGTCAGTTACATTTGACTGAAAATTCAAGCAGATTTTTCTAGCAGTGTGGTACATTTTACAAAAGTTTCTCTCAGCGAGAGGGAGAATGTCCAGAAGCTATCAATGGCAGCTCGACTAGTTTTATTTGCATGCCCTTCAGGTTATATTTTTTACATTACATTACTTACAGACAACATTCAGCCTGAAGGAATCCTCCTGACTGTAAGCGAGCAGCTTGGGATTAGTGCCGATACACTTCAGAACAGTGCCGTCATCCTCAGGGACTGGCGCGAAACTAACCGAGCTGAGTACGAGTGATTCGTTACTGTCCGTGTCGTGAAACTGCAACAAGTCGAATCTTGCACAAAAAAAATGTCTTTTAACAATGCAAATCGCCTACCTTTCCTCGCTTGAATTCCCGATTGTCCCTACTCCAGGACACGACCGCTCTAGGCCGGGATCCAGTCACTTGGCAGTGAATGGTGATTTCTTCGTTAGCCACCAGTTGCATGGGCTTGGTGGGAATAATTACGTGAAGGGGCCGCACTGCAAACGATAACACATTGTTAGGAAATGTGTGGAAAACACATTGGAGCCGGGGTTTATGGAAACTGGATACGCCGCAATTTCCAAACAATCGCATTTTCACGTCGGTAAATAATGTATCGACGTCGCACCAACTGAAAGGCATCGAGTTACGTGTATAATTTGGGGGAAGAACTGATTTGCAATGGCTTGTTTCATTGTTTGCCTGATTGCCAGGGGGGGTTCGAATGAATTATTCTCATTGCAGCTTGTAAGGGCGGCATTTTAATCAATTGGTTTCAACTTCTTGATATTTTAAGCAATTTTCGGAGACAGTTGGCTACTTTGAAAGAGAATAATAAGAAAAAATATGCCGTAGAGCAAACGCTGCCAATCAGATGACCACGGTTGAAGCAGAATATTCGAGTGTTGCCACACGACTATATAAAAGCGAGCGCGCCACGTCCCAAACGTAACATTTCCAATATAAAAACGATTGAAGGTTTAAGATGGATTCACACGACGCCAAAAAACATAAAAGTTTGCATAACGAAAACTCTAACGAACTTGGTTGAGGCTATTTGATGATTTGAAACAGGACAAGATGCAATGAAAACCTCACTGATTTACCACCAACTCCAACAGTCGTTCATCTATCTGATAAAATGCATAAATTGGAAAAAGGGCTCACAAAAAAATTGTAAACTTAAGTCCAATTAATCCAGAGAAAATGAGTTACCAGAAAGCACATTGGAGAGCGACATGCTCAAGTAAAGATAGCCAGTGCTCGTTGAAAAATCTGATTTAATCAGGAAAACTCGACGACGTCGAAATTTAGAAAAGGGCTCCTTTTATGCAAAAGAACATTTGAGAATATTGCGTCTTGATTGGGTAAAACTAAGTGTAACGGAAAAAGATTGTTTCACGCTAAATTAAACTTGAAAATTCAATCATTTCGGAAACAGTAAAAATACTTCACCGCTTTTGCCCCGTGTTTATAAAAACTTCCAAAGGGAAAACGGTTCGTTACCGGCGAGTTTTCCTTATTTTTTTCCTTTATCGCTTGTTTTCCTTGGACTTTGAATCGAGTCGGGGCAATATTGCTTAATTTGCAAAACGTCGGATATTTTGGGACAAACAACACTTTTAAATGTAGAACTAAGTGTTCAAGTTCTAACAAGGACTGAGTTCGTAGATTTTCATCGTCTATTCTGGTGCGTTTCAATTCTTCTATCATCTTCTAATGTTGGATTTTTCTAAAGCAGGGATAAAGAGGAGTGAATGGTGCTTATTTTGTCTTTTCTCATCATGAAGCTAAGTTGTTTGCCTGCTACTCTTTCCTTGCATATATTGTGTATCCTCCAATGGACAATTTGGGGCTCATTAAGCTGCTGCTTGGGCAACAATATAAATTCCAGGAAGACCCACTTTTCCGGGATATTGCCGGTGTCTTATAATGGTATTGGTAGTGCAGTTTCTGTTGATAAGGAATTTTCTATGTTATTTTCAAGCGTTGTTAATACTTCTTTAGCTCACAGTAACATTTTAGTTGGCTTTGATGAGTTTTTCCACTGCGTTTTGCGTTGGGACGTCATTTCGTTCGCTCTTTAATGTTCAATGTTTCTTTATGTTTGCCTTCTCTGATATTTCTTTGGGTTCTCTTGCATCTTGTGAAGCATTTCCTCATGCACATCTTATGTTTTCGACCTTAATTCTTCAAAAAATTGTTTGTGATGTCCTTTACCACTCTCTAAAAATGTTAAAAATAACATGTTCTTTTTGAAATCGCATTTTGAAACCTATTACCAACGTGAAACTGGAACATTGTAACCCTGTTACAGAAAAATAACCGTTTATCCCACCTCTGTTTCTTTTTTGATGATTATTGTTTGATAATTTTCTGCTGTCTCGCCTACTGTTTTATTGAAAACACATTTTTTTACATTAAAACTACTAAATTTCCACTCATACTTACGCAACAGCTCTAATTGGACCCCATTTTCAATGGGTGTGATCAAATTGGTGTTACTAGCCTGACATTTGAAGGTGGAATTCAGCTTGTCCCTAGTGACCTCCTTGATGTCCAGGCGATTAACCACTACTTTGGGTTTGGTCAGGACTTCCCTTTGTCCAGCCACCAAACGGCCATTGACAAACCAGGACACTGTTGGAGGAGGATTGCCTGTAACACGACCATCATCAGGATTTATCCGATTAGTTCTCTTTTAACATTATGCCGGTGATAATTAATTAAAATTCCCGTAAAGGATGACATACGTTGCAAGATAATGTAGCAGATGAATGTAATTGATAAAAGTTTACAGGCAAGAGGCAACTAAACGAAATTCGAACGAACACGAAAGTAATTTGCTTCAGGTAGCAGCCGTTGCGGCTTCATTCCCAACTTGCAAACTTCAAGTTATTAGTGGAATTGTACCTCTAAATGGGACGTTTCCTAAACGAGGACAGTTTGCATTTGAGAAGACCGAATTCTCGAGAGTCTGCAAAGAACTATTTGAGGCAAAACTGCAACTTACCTCCTCGAACCTCGCAGGTTAGCACCAGTTTGCTGCCCTCCTCCAACGGGCCCACAACGCCCGAAACATTTCGTCCCATATTGTCGTAAATCATGATCTGATGAGGTGGAACTGTAACGGAACAAACAGTGCAATCAGTGCCAACCTAATCAGAGGCAAATCCAGTCGGATTGATTTTGCTGGAAGACCATCTTATCGCGCATTTAGTGCTGCAGATCGAGATATATAAAAGTTCGGAACGTAAATGAGAAAAGTTTTTAAGGGGCAAATTAAAAAAGGAAAACTTTGAAAGCCGACCAAAGTTTGCTGATGATCATAAATTTTATAGATCTTTGCAGGCACACGTGTCATGGAGTTTCTTGAGTGTGTTTTTTACGTGTTATGTATAATAGTCGACGGGATATTTCCGACCATGTTTATGGTTCTATTATTGTTTGACTCATTTCTAGAAAGTTTGGTAAAATATAAAAATGTCTCAGAAGGTAACGTTTCCCTACGGTCTGTGGTAAAAGTATTGACAGTTTTTGCAATCTGGGTACCGAAAGCAGTTTTATTAACAAATGTTTTCGAGGAACTGAATTTTGATTAATAGCGTTAATTTCATGAGCATCGTATCCTGGCAAATTATGCTCATGGCAATATTGTTTTTTATGTCCCTTGATATAATGGTAGAGTAAAGTACGTACAGATCTCGAGATGTGGTAACCTCAGATAACTCAGGACTGATTCAGCAGCTCATCTCATTAGGAGAATTTTCAAAAAAAATATTTCTTTCAAAGCACATTATTCAAATAACTATTTGCTTAGAAAGAGCGGAACTGAACATTTGAACGACATGTTTAAAGTAAATCAACAGAAAGTGATCCCTAATGGACATTCCTCCATAAATGTCCATCTTGAATGGCCGATATGTTTGCATGCATTCTGTTTGTATTAGATGCTTTAAACGTTTGCAATGCCGAACGAAATGAATGATCGTTTCACCCTACTTTACTTAGCCCACAATTCCAATGGATTATAATCCATTGGAATTGTGGGCAAAGTAAAGGACAAGTCATAACTTGTTCGTTTTGCAAGTCATAACCTGTTTTTTTCGAATGTTGTTGACTAGGAACGGAATTAAAAGATATAAATAAATATTTTCTAGCTTTGTTTTCCAGGCAAACTAGCCTAAATGTACATTCAAAATAGGCAAGATTCGTCCATTAAATGCACATACTAGAGCTTCAGCTGCTGTTTGACGGTTGGATCTATGGGTTTTCAAGATAGATGGCATGCCAAAATCCGATCCAGGCTCGTAAAACTCAATATGTGAAAAATCGAGTTAATTTCATAGTGGCTTTTTATGAGCTTTCCCCGAGCTCATTAAGCGAATTAATGTATTTTCAATCATCGCGGTCACGTCAACTTGTCCTGATCGACTATGTGATTGATTAGCGCTCAAAGTCGCTCAGTGTATTGGAATTATTTAAAAGCTGTTTCATGTTTAGGCCCTTCGGGATATTTCAGTTGCTGGGCATCATCAATTAATTTCAAATAATTTAAGCATCGACGGCCGCAAAACTCCCCAAGTATTCTCATAAAGACGATTCATAACTTCTCAAGCTGAAGAAAGTGAGTGTTTTGCAAAGTGCTAATTTTCCTCAAGCTTAAGATGAATGTGGGTGGCTCGTGCTTAGAAAACATCAGAAACACGGATATAATTGCACTGTTTTAAGGCAACAATTCAATTTCGCGTGCTTTCATAATGCCCGTAAATATGAGAGCATTAATATGCACACTGCTGTTAGTTTAAATACACATAATTCCGGCAGTAATGTTGGAAATAACAAAACTGCTTTATCGACATCGCGTGTTGTGTTCGGGCATAAAAAAATTACGACCTGGCAAAATCAAGTCTAAATATACACCATGGGCAGTATCGATTGGCCTAAAGGTGCAAATAAAATGGCATGCTACTCAGGTTTTGGCTGCAATTCCAGTACACTAATAAATAATTCCTTCAGTTTGTTCGTCGACACAAGTTAATACCCAGCTTCAGTTCTCATTTCCTCGATTTTTGGAATTTAATTTTTAATTCGTTGCAAAACTTTTTCCATTTTCCATTAATAGAATTGTCTACTGCAATGGAGATTCTCGGCGCAGAAGAGGGGGCTTTTTGAACACTTCGAATTAATATCCAGTTGGGGCTGCAACGCGTTTTCAGCTAAGTAGTATAATGCACTTTTATTTGCTGAAAAATTCATCTAGTGTTGTTGTTGATGAATAGATACGGATTTTATTTTAATTTTAGCGTCTTGGGACTGCTTTCAACAAGATGACGACCTTTTCTAGTTGAATAATGAACGAACTTTAGTCAGGATCACTGGATTTTTCTTCTTTTGGAAAGTTTTTTGGCTGTTCTATGGTTTTATTCCTGTTCAAATGTTTCTTAACCCCGACATCTGTTCTTTTCCAATTCCTCTGCATCTCTCGATTCCCATTTCGTTAAAATCTGTAGGATTTTGATTAAGTTTTTATATTTTGTATGTTTGCTGTTCTTTGTTCAATACTTTCATTAATTTGATAAAGTTTGACGCGGTGTTTTTAACTGTTCACATTTAATGCCTCCTAGAAGAACTTCCTCCTATATTTTTTATTCGACTAAATTTGTTTTTGTAAGTTGTTTGCTCTGCTTCGTCCATTTCTTAAGGTCATTTGTTACTTATGATATTAAAAGACAGCAAACAGATTACAGTTTTTTGCCTCTCGTAGGGATGGTCGGTATTTAACGTAACCGTTAAAATAACATTGTTACAAACGTGTAACCTGAAACCGTAGTTACAGCTAGCAGATTTAACCGGTTGTTTTTGGAACCGTTTCTTAAACCCAAAAAAGCCGTTTGCAACAGCACAGAACCGATGCGACACCGTCGAGCGATCTATCGAGCTGCAGCCGTTTGCCGACTTAAATTTTAAAAGGTTCCTTTTGGAACCACATTTTGAACCTATTACCAACGTGGAACTGGAACGTTGTAACCTTGTTACAGAAAAATAACCGTTTATCCCACCTTTAGTCTCTCTTAAAAATGTTGATCTTTCTTATAAATTTTTTTATATCTGAATTATTTAGTGCTTTCTTTGCGCGTTTTATGGCATTTTTATAGCAGTGCTGCTTTTGTGCTGTTACAACGCAGCACGCAGTTGAAACTTCGACTTCGTTAACATTTTTGGGGATCTCTGCTATTCTTCTCCTCCTGCAATTTTGGACTTCGAAACTGTATTCTGTACTTATTTAAATTTCGTTTTTACTTTAAATTTTCCGTATTGTAGCTAGTTAGTCTAACAAACAGCCTTATAAACATGTGCCACATTTGTTATTCGCTATTTGCAATCAGAAGCCAGATCACTTTGTAATGTTAAACATTTTTGGAAAGTTTCAGTGCATTTTCAATTTATAAAGACACACTCATTATCGAAACTCCTTCACCTTTCGAACATTTTGTGCATCTGAACAGCCTTTCTCTGAAACTGATTGGAAAGCAAATTTGGCAGCTGTTGGCTAGGAAAACTGATGTTCAAAGATGCGTTTTTGTGGTTTAACATTTTCTAGAATCGAATATTTTGCCTAAAATACACGCAAAAATGGCAAGACTAATCATGAGCCAGTTTTCCATCGCCAAAGGCGAACGGTTCAATATTAACACAGTCGACAGCCAACGGTGGGAATTTAACACAAATCATATTGATTGAAGGATCGGCAGATCTCATTTAAATTGTTGATAGAAAGCATATTAACCGCATATGTCCGAGGCTGACGATTCTATTACAAGCTGATACCGATATTGGCTGCATCGGCACTTCATTAAACTGGATGCAGCCTCTCCAGCCCTATTTCCATTGCCTTCAGATTGCCTCGGTCATGTTTATTTGCCGCCAGCTTTGTGTCCATGCATGACATGTCGGTTGGCCTTAATTACTTTGCCAATAACAAACTTACCAATCACGGTCAGGTTCAGGGCGGAATTGCGGGTGGGGTTTGTTCTGAAGTCCACGCGGCACCGGTAGATTCCCTGATCCTCCAACAGGACCTTTTCCAGATGGAGGGTGGCCGGTTTGGGGACGGTGAAGAATTGGGCTCGGTGTCCGAACACCTGAGGATCCGACCAGTGAACCACATCGGATAGCGATTTGCCCCGCACATCGAAGCTGAAACCAAAAATAATGTTATTCACATTGTAATCAAATCAATACATGGCTATTCTCAGTCAGTCACGCCAGGGGCGGCGCCGCAGTGCTCCTCAAACCCATCTCCAAACTAGGCAAAGCAAATCCTCCCCACCTCAACAACCCTTTGAACGACTGCATACATGTTACTATACCCTACTTAAATGACTTAATTCACGTA